GAAGCAAAGGCTTTAATTTGAATACAATGTCTATGAAACTCGGAAGCCAATTTAAATTCCATACATTGCTTTATCTCATTTTTATTCACTTCCTACAGTAAAGTTTTATAAGGGTTTTTTCCCTTGCGTTACGCTCGGCTTTACAAACAATAATCATCATAACTCAACAGTAAACAACATCACTACTCACGCGGTTGTTACCCATTGGGTCGATCGTCCCAACGTGATTTTTTTCCCCAGTGGGCCGATAAATTCTATAGACTCGATCAACCCATTGGTAAACAGACACTCACGCTTGTAACCACAATGGTAGGCAGATACACGTGACTAGGTTTGGAAGTTATCAAGTATTTTCAAAATATGCACTAATAATACATACATTGTTTTTTATTCCAATTGAATTTATGTTAGAAACTAATCTCAGTTAATAGAACTTTTAATTGAAACTGTTCAAATATTTTTACTTTAATGTCCTTTAAAAGCAAATGGCTTTTGTAAACATCTGTGCGAGATGAGTTTTGTGATGTCGCTAAATAAAATATTACAACACTCGTGTCACACTAACCACATGTAATATTCATGGCTTTTTGTATAATCAAGCAAAGTAGTACAATGTAGGGCGCAATATAGTTTAATATGTACTTCATTCTTAAAGTTGGTAACCTACAATATTATTTAGTTCTACAAAATATTGAAAAAAATAGTACATTTTTTAAATATCGTCTAGACGTTATCGATCAATCGCCTGGATCTTTCTCTTGAACAAACAAAAACCTAACGTAAATAAGCTTAAAATATCGTCGCGCCAAAGCTTCAAACAAATTACTAACTTTTGATCAAAATAAGCAACTTTTTAGCACTTCGCTATGCAAGTTTTCGAAGGACACTTTACAAGTTCGACTATAAATTCTAAGCAAAGACCGATGTTTGCGTCAAAATAAGTTTAAAATGGCGCACATCTACAAGATTATTTGGTCCGGATTGAATATTCTTCGGCTCTGCGACTTGAAATTCAAGAGACGTACAACTTCTACGGAATGTTATTTTATAAAGTCAGGACCACACTGAATGTAAATGACATATTGATACCCGCCTTTGAGAAAGCATCTCGATGTTCGATGAGGTTTCCAGTCACACAAGTTCCGAGTGCACGTCGCAAAACTTAATGGAAACAAAAATAGAATACGTAAAAGTTATTCAAAAGTAAAGTAATTCAATAGTCTGGATCTAGATGGATGCATCTAGATATTGGTATTTCTAACTTGACAACATAATATTCTGCAACTTTAAAACCAAAATTTAAGAATCTTTAAACCAGATTGCAAATTGAACATCCTTTTAATACATGAGTTGATAACAGATTATTAATTCTAATAACTATTAAATACCAAATATCTAACTCTTTCTTTCTTTCTGTCTGCTACAATGGATGAAAAATTGTTGGCATAAAATATGAAACATAGTTTATCTGTGTAAATATTAAAAGTAATACGAAAGTCATACGGTGGCGCCACGCCGACTGTATCATATCCTTCAACGAGTCGTGCATCAAATAGATTTTCGTTGCTACTAAAATCCTACATACGCCCCGTGACTTCAACCTCAATGGAATTTACAAGTACACAAACGATTATTAATATTGAATTAATAAATATCGTTACCCGTGTTATTTTAATATACGAGGGTAAAACTGCAGATTATAAATAGCTTATTGAGGCGATGGTTATGTTAAACTAAACAAAGACAATCTAATAATAATTGCGTTACGTTAAGTTGTTCTTTCTTTAAAATAAATACGATAGGCCTAATTTTAGTCCCTCGCCCTTTCCAACATTTTTAAGAGGAAAGGATGGATAAAAATGAAAATTTGACGGTGGAAGACACGCATAGGAAGGGGAAATATCTTCTTTATGTGCGTCTCGTCCTTCGTCGCATCGCAACGCATCTGCAATTGAGGATGTCTATGGGCCGCGGTCTCTTCACCATTTCGGCGGTTTCAGGTGACCGCTCGTCGTTTGTCAAATTGCCAAAAAAGTCCAATGAATACGAATCGAAACTGTTATTTCAGAATCTGTCCAGTTTTCAGGCTAGTTTACAATGGAACGGATATACCCGTGGAAAACATAACCCAAGTCAATTGGGCAACCACATTTTTGTATCACAAGTTAATCATATAAGCATGTCATGTGGTTAGTTCGTACAAGAGATTAATCCCGTACAGCGGGAGACCGTGAGGAATCAATCCCCTGCTGTGATCACGATGCGATAGCGTCCGTCGGAACAGGATACTAAACATATCAAGTGAGTGTCACGTCTATTATATCTGTGCGATTCAATGCACCAATACCGCTTGACAATTAGGTCGATTATAGTATGGATGTTTGTTTTTAATAATAGCAAGGGTAAGGCAGTAAATAAAAAGAATGAAGAAGAGAATAAAATTTCTTTATCAGGGAAGAGGAGTATTTATTTATTTTACGAAACTAACATTTTCACAGTTATCTATACATATTGCCAAGTCATTCAATAAATTTTCAAGAATATTAGAATTTTAAAAAGTTAATTCATAAACTTCTTCCTCCCTTTTGGCTATGAAGGTTGGCACAATAAGTACTTTTTCTTATATCTCCAAGAGCAGTCATGCCTGACTTAATTTCCTTTTTACAATACATACACACTTTATCATAAAATTCTTTCAGTTTTTTGGCCACTCCTATTTTCATAACCCAATCTTTATTTGGTGTTCTGCTTTCCTTCCCTTCCATACAAATCCATTCACATTTATACTTATTATTCATATAGCAGTTTCTCTCTTAAGAAATTTTCTTATTTATTAAAAATACTAGCTGATGCCCGTAACTTTGCCTATGCCCATCTACATCAAGTACCCTTCAGTGAAAGTCCGGTCGAAATTGATACAACCCTTTTGGAGATTACCCAGAACAAACGCGACTTGCGGTCAGACAGACAGACCGACAAACACAAATTTCAAATACGATTTTCATCATCATCAATGCAAATACATCATCTTCCAGAAATCTGAAATTTTTCTTTTGATATTAAACAGACACTCCAATTTGATTACATGTATAGATTATATATGGTTATAGCTGAAAACCAATTTATTATAAATTTTATCCTTATTTTACAAATGTAAGTATTGAATGAACTAATTCTGAAACTCATAAGTTCAATTCCTATTAGCTAGTACATTTTATGTAACAATATGGGGACTTTTTGATGCACTTAAAAATCGAGTTATGAGATCTCTTAGATATAGCACTTTTGCAGTGGTGATACATGTTTATGTTTCTTTTAAGTATAATACTAAAATGTAATATAAAACCACATTGTTTTAAACCACATTTTCTTATTTAGAAGAAGAACCATGAAGCAAAGAATCTATTATTTTAGACAATTAAAGATTTCACATTGTTCATTATAAAATGACAGTCATAGATTAAGCTGTTTTTTTTTTTAAACAAGTGTTTTTTATTTACATAATTAAAAATAGCTATATGCTCTTCTACTCCACTTTCTGTGTCAAATTTCATAAGCAATTTTCCACAAATTTTTCCTAACAGTGCATACAGTTTACTTCACATATTAGTATTATATGCCATAAAGTTTTAAATATGAACTTACAGGGTTTTATTTTCTTTCTTGAATGAAATAATCAACTGAAATATTGGTTTTTTCCTTTATTTTATATGCATTTTCCTATCCTACCATTCATTTTAAATGCTATGTGTGTATTTTCTTTTTAACAAATTAATAAGTAAAATGTTTAAAAAATGTTTGTTTACCCATGATCTCATTATTTGCTTATTATCTTTATCAGACAAGTCACCTTATTTTTCTCAGAAATATTGCAATTGTAATTGTTTTAAATATAAGCTATCGTCACTTTCTACATTACAATGGACATTTTATAGAAGGAACAAACAGAACAAACTTCTAATAAGATCATGACTTTTGTAAACAAGTCGAGGTAGGTAGTGTTGTACTGTAAACATTGACGTTATAACAAGAGGTCGCATACAGAGGGGCGGTATTACCTTGGATCTGGCAATATAATCTTTTTGCTTGCTCGTGCAGCAGGAGTGCATTTTGACTTCTCCATTGCCATCAAGTAGCTGACGTCGGCCAGCACTGCTTCGAGGTCCGCCATTTTGATACTTATTTATCTTCTTTACCAGAGAAATACGCGCCACTCGCTCACAACACCAACACGTTTAAATCACTGACTTAACTTCCAAATCAAAGTCATAACCTTTTTCACATGACGACTACTCACAGCTTCATTACACCATTTGTTGATGAGGATTGGGATAAATCCATTCTCATAATAATGTAAATTGTACATAAGGACGCACAGTGTAACTCTTAAGGAAAGTCATTGGAATTAATTACAAGGCTTAACTATTTCCACTTTTTCACGAATACAAACATATTAGAAAAACACGATCACAAAACGACCGACAATATCCGCCATCACCCGTCTACGATCCGTCACTTCACTTCATTGACTTCAATTCTTGCGTTTTCGGTTCATCACACAGAAAAACTCTTGTGTTAAAAAAATATTTTGAACGTACAACACTGGACTAGCACAGAATATATATTTTTTAAAAAAAACTTTTAAACTAATCTTTTTGTATTTAAGTTTATAATTTCGTAAAGAAAGGAAAGAAAAAAAAATGCTTTTAACCACTATTTATTTACAAAGTCCTAACAGAAATAGTTAAAGTATGTTTCTACTGCCGCTTTGATGCGGCAACCATGCTCAGTTCTTAAATGTAGATGCTCGTGTAATTCGAAAGTTATATAATTTCCTTCTGTACTTTTACTAGTACCTATTTATTTAGGACATTTAATTTGTTTTTAGCAATTAAAAAATCGCGAAGTAGACATTTGTCCGTTGATGAAGTTACAAATATAATCTGTGGACACAAGACATAGTTTGACAGTGACAATGGCAGCAAAATGACAGATCCTTGTTGATATTTAAAAGCTGTCAAGTCAATTAAACCGTGATTATGATATTTTGATAACATTATATCATTTTTACTTATCAAACGTGTTGGTTGTGGTGCTACATATTATAATAATACGTATAGTACAACATATAATTGTTTAGCGCACGGCACACGGCGCTGCGTGTACGTATAAGCGTTACAAGCGATTTCAATTCCTTCCGTATGCAAAACGTGTTTCAAATTGAATTTAAAATTTAACTAGTAGTATATACGATTTTTAGTGATGTGAAATGTAAATTAAAACATTGCAAATTGTGTAACAATTGTGTAGTATTGTGAAACTTCTAGGTTTGTCGGCGTAATGGAGTACTGTCCACCAAACGTGACCTTGAATGAAATTTGGGTGGATCATGGAATATCACAATGTTTTATGGAAACGGTTTCGGCCGTTTTTATTGGAGGATTTCTTCTTGCGTTTGGCACGTTTCAAATAGTAATGTATAAAAGGTCAGATTTTATGTTTTTTAAAATGTAATCTGATTCATAAATATTTACTCTGTAATATTTAATTAATATTTAATAATCATCATCTCCTCATTCTTATACAGTGTACACACTATAAATAAATAAAAAATCATTTTGACAAGTCATCTTATCCATTGTCTTTAAAAAAATCTGTATGTCTTCGTAATTGTGTTTTACTATCATATTTTGACTATTTTAGTTGTTAGGAACATAATGTACCAAAACAAAATATGACACTGGACATGATAAACAAATAATTTTATACCTTGCATAATAATGGGTTTTACCCAACTCCGCTAAGATATTATTTCTAAGTTTGAGTATTTATGCTTTTTCTGGATCCATAGATATAGTCAAAGACACTTATGTTTATCTTTTTCTTTTTCAGATATGCTATGGAAGTGGTGGATGTTAGACCATCAAAATGGTTCACTGTGCAGTTATTTTTCACTTTATTCATACCAGTGTTAGCTGTGATAAGATTCTTGTTACAGGCATTTGTTTTTAAAGGTGGACATATTTATGGTTATATGGTAAGCAAGTCCAGTTGTATAAAACATTTTTTAAAAAGTTGAATTCAATATAGGAGACTCAAAAGGGCCACAATTATCTAAGGAATAGATCCTTAAGGATCTTCTGAAAAAGAAGAAGTTTCTCGATGGAGAAAATGTTCTGAAAACTTAATCCTTCCTCACATTTGCTAAAAGTTTTAAAGACTGATTGCAGATAATAAAAAAACAAAAAAAAAGTTGAATTCAGTTATCTCTCTTATGATGTATCTTATGTTCTTTGTCTTGTCCATTGCAATTGTATGTGATTTAATTTTTTTTTGTTTCAGATTTTAGCTTTAGTGGTGACGTTAGTTGTATTTCCTTTATCAGCTTATTTAGCGGTATTAGAAAGAAGTTACCTATTGCCATCTCTACCTCCACGAGCCCATGGTTTTGTGCTTCTTATTTTCTGGGCAATGATATTTGTGTCGGAAAATTTATCATTTTTAAATCTTAATAAGAAAGGATGGTGGTGGCATTTGAGAGAGTAAGTAATTATTACACTTTCTAATATCTAAGTTTACTAGAATTCTATCAAAAAATGGTTGAAGTAATTCCTATGTATATTTGCATTAGACAAGATAAGTTATTGATCAAGGTTTTTAAAACTTAAACACTAATGTAAGTGACTATTTTCCCTTTAGTGTTTAACCATGCTATTTTACACATGTGCGTTTGTCATTTCATGGCTTTGTCGCGCCATTGGAAATACTGCACGCGGTTTCATACAAAATTAATCAAACAGCGAAATGTTAAGTAGACATTAGATGTTAGTATTTCTTTTCAGTCTACAAGATCGTTTGGAGATGTCACTATTTGTTGGGAGATATGTTTCATGTATGATCATGTTTATACTCGGAATGAAGGCTCCAGGCATTCAGCATCCATTTGAATATCTAGACAACGATAATGGGATACAACGCAATATACCGCCTAGGGTATGTGTTTTTTAAATATTAAAACCGCCCAAAGTCATCTGCATGCTACACTTTGCCCTTACCATCCCTTCACTTTCCACTATTTAACATTGTATTTCCTGCTGCAACTCTTTACTATGTTCATAGATCTTTATTGGCAAAAAAAAATACAAAAAATATTATTTAATGTAACATTTTTCATCTTCTTTTTAGTATGGCCTATGTTTTTATACTGTACAATAATTTCATTGCATTCGCTTGTCGAACACTACTTGATTCCTGATTAAGAACAGGTTATCAGTACTAATGTTTCTGTTAAGTAAATAATAAAATGTTTGCACGCCTCATACGATTGTGTTTTCTACAGCCTATAGTATGATGGAAAGGAAATGAGTACTCAATTAAAACGTTTGTTACGATAAAAATTATCAGAAGCCCTGAAAGTGTTTATTGTTTACTATTTTACATGTTTACGTTATTTATAAAATCTAAAAACAAACTATTGTCATCATAAAAATCAGTTTTCGTCTTTTTTCCAATGGGAATAGGAATTTAAAACATCAATTACGTAGATATTTAATTCAATCCGTAAAGGTCGTATCATTGACGTGATCAAAATAAACTTCTATTAAAACTTTTTATTGAAAAGACGAAACTTTAGAAGAAAAAAGAAACACAGATTATCTATCACAACTTATAGGTTAAGATGTCATGTCCTTATCAAAATTATATAATTGTATCGAGTGAGAAAGATATTAAGAAGGTATTACTATGGTATCGAGATGTAGTGGATCGTATGATAAATGATTTACTATCCATACTCGCAGGACGACAACAGATCGACGTTCCGCAATGTATTCGGCAAGCTGCGCACGCTTCTGCCATTTCTGTGGCCGCGCAAATCACTCCAGCTGCAGTTCTACGTGATGATATGTATATTGGCGTTGGTAGCCGGCAGAGCAATCAACCTTTATGTGCCCATTTATAATAAGAAAATAGGTATGTTTTCAATAGTATTACAATAGAGGTATTTAACAATTAATTAATGAAAGGTTGCATGATTATTTGATTATATACTTTAAAAAAAGATACTTGTTTACGTCTTGTATTATATCCATATAGTTATGCATACTCTTTACACGAAATTTAAGTGTAGGTTATATTCAGCAATCAGTGTCATTTAATCGTCTATAAGAGAATTAGCTAAGCCTTGTACGAGAAACCTATACTAAATAACTACTTAAGTAAAAGTAATACGTTAGTATGTCCCAATAAACTATTTTTAATTATTAATGCAAAGTATTCATTACATTGTTTTTAAGATATCTTCTTATTTTTAAGAATGTTGCGATAAAACACGGAACTTGTGATGAAAATATGTACTGGGAATAACGAATTCTTTGTTATTACTACTGATAGTACTATCTGTTGCAATTAAATGGATAAGAAATTCACAAAATTACAGACCGTTTATTCACAAGACAGTAATGCATAAAATAATGTAGAGATATATTTCGACAATATATTTCCCATGTTAATCATCATACTTCATACTTAATATTGTAAATGCGTTTGTATGGATGCATGGATGGATGTTTGTTAGAGTTTGTAGTCTAAACGGCTGAACGGATTTCGATCAAATTTGGTACAGATGTAGAGGATAGTCTGGAAGAACACATAGGCTACTCACTTTTGTGTTTTTTTATTCCACGCGAACGGAGCCGCGGGCTAAAACTAGTAAACCATAAACTAAACATTAGTATTAAAATCATACTGTTATGTTGTTAAAATATGGTATTTTATATTCCAGTGGATAGTTTGGCAGTGCCCAACTCATACCGATGGGATCTAGTCGTGATATACGTATTCTTCAAGTTCCTACAAGGCGGAGGTACTGGGGGCATGGGATTCTTGAACAATCTCAGATCATTTCTATGGATTAAAGTGCAACAATACACCACGAGAGAGCTGCAGGTGAGACTTGAATATTTTCTGTTTTCTTACAGGATAAGTGAAGTATTTAATTTAATCAGTAACAGTCATGAACATTAGCTGCTAAGTTAAACTAACTATTGACTTGCCATTGCTATTTCAAGTATGACCAAGGTAGCAGAATTAAATTTCCTTCCCACTAAGAATATTGTACAGTAAACTATCATTATATTAGCTTATTTTATTACGTATCTATGTTCTAAAGACAAGATTTCTATATAATTGTATTTTGTGCGTCAAGTAACGCGTGCGAATGGGTAATGGCGAATGGGTAAAAGGTAACGTCCTCGGCTGTATCATTTTCAATGGCGTAACCGCATGACTGTCATGGAAATATTGTTATCTTAAATGGCTTTTTGGAGTTCTGATCAGAGTGATCAAGGAGCAAAATATGCAATATCATCTCCCCTACCATATCCTACTCTTGTAGGGTCGGCACACCGGGTTTATGTCCTCCAAATAATCCGTCATCTAAGCAAAAATATGCAATATTATGTCACGTATTTTAAATTATCTTATCAGATTTGTAACATCTATTAAGTCATGCGTGTTTGCTAATTGTGGCTTATCTTCATAGTACTTGATTGTCATTACACCTAGTAGATCGTTGTTACAAATAAAAGTAGCATTGTCTAAGAAATATGGTACCATTTTAACCGTATTAAATATTAATTCACATAAAAATGTGAATACTTACTATTTATATCTGTAGACAAAGTTACGAAGTATATTTAGGTATTCAAATTATTATATGAAATATATTTTATTAGTCAAATTAGGCATTATGTTTATCATTTTTTTCCGGATCCACCTTTAAACTCACATTCCACTAGCCTTTAACCTTGCCACGCGCATTTTCTTTATCTGCATTATATTTTGCGTGATTGCAGTTATTTTGATAAAAATACGCATTGGACTGAATAAATATCAAGTCAGTCATTCATTGAATTTAAATAACAAACTTGTTTGTACTTAAATATTTAAATTTTTAGGTCATAGATCTAGACATCTTGATATACAATATTTTGTGCATATTATTTACTTTATATTGTAACTAGCTGTTCCCATGCCACTTCATCCGCATAAATTTATAAAAAAAAACATTTTATTGTTCACATTTGTCAAATTATCAATTGCAAATGTCAAAATGACATGACATGATGTCAAACCATGGCAACCTTCCTTCCTTGATGTTGGCAACAACTTATGGTCTCTTTCCCACATTAGGGTTTTTATCTAAAATATTTGCCCCTAAGTTTAACGGCGTGAAAATATGTAGCCTAAAGCGTGACGTAAGTGTAGAGCTTTTTATTAAAAAATAGAGTTATTCGAAAATATGCTGTAATTACTGACGTGTTTGGCACCAAATAAGTGTGTGTTTACGCTTTATTATATTAGTATAGATAATTATCTAACTCTTAAGTGCTTTAACTTCTTTAAGATTATATTGCTTTAAGGTTTATTAGTCACTAGATGAATTGAGATCGTATGACGCATGAGTCGCCTTCACAAACCACAAGCCAGTAATAAAATATAGTACAAAATAATTATTATTCATCAAGGTTACTTAATATATGGATTTCATTAAATCAGTCCATTATTGCATAAAAGTTTAATATAGAAAGCTGTTACAAGGCCTACGGATAACACTGAACGTGTGTAAATAAATGTTATCACAATATAAACAATTAAAGAGTTCCCTTATCTTTCGTATTGGTCTTAAATGGCAAAATTCCTTCGACGTGTCATGACGCGGTTGAAATGTCCGGAAGACACGTATTAATGATGTAGGAATAAAAATCATTCACGGGAACTCCGAGTTCAACTGCTTCATTGAGTAATATAAACCAAACTTCAGATATAGTAGAAACCGCGAAAATTGAGGTAAACACAAATAATATGTCTGATTACTGGTAGATGTGTGTGTAAATTAAATAGCCATGTGCAATACAATTTATTGCGTTAAATGCAGATCACAATTTTATGTTAGATAATTAGGAAAACTGTTCTATTTAATTGAAAGTATATCGTAACTTTGTTTATTTTTCAACTGTACAATTTACTAGCTGTTGCTAGCGACTTCGTCCACGTGAAATTAAAAAATATAGCCTATGTTACTTAGTGATAACGTAGCTTGTTAATGGTGAAAGAATTATTGAATTCGTCTAGTAGTTTGTGTGTTATTTCTATACATACAAAAATACAAATCTTTACAGTGTATAATACTAGTATAGATGACCATTTATGCGATATTTTTCCTATCATCCTTTATCTCTTCATTGCTGGACGTATTTTTTTCGATTTATTTAAACTTTTATCAAACATTAAATGTACTTATTTTTTTAGTGTTCATGAAAATGTTTTTATTTCAGCTAGAACTTTTCAGGCATCTCCACGATTTGCCATTGAAATGGCATTTATCTCGCAAGACTGGCGAAGTGCTGCGTGTGATGGACCGAGGCACGGATTCTATAGACAATCTGCTATCCTACATACTGTTCTCTATAACGCCAACGCTGGTTGATATCGTGGTTGCTGTTGTATACTTTGTCACGCAGTTCAATGTTTGGTTCGGACTTATTGTGTTCTCCACAATGGTACTTTATATTGGTATGTGATTATTTGATTCTGCTCCTTTATTTATATAGATTTTATCCGCCACTTCCTTCGCTTAAAATACTAAAAAAACAAAAGAAAGTCTGAGTTTTTTTGTGACTAACCTCGACATTTATGGCTTTCAATCGAGATCTGTTCCGAGTTTTGGCTACTAACATCAAAAAATAAGGATAATTTGTTACAATCATACTTCATATTAATATTATAAATGCGAAAGTTTAGATGGATGGATGTTTGTTAGAGTTTGTAGCCTAAACTGCTAAACGGATTAAAAATGTAGAGGATATTCTGGAAAAATACATAGGGTATTTGTTTTTTAATTCCACGCGTAAGGAGTAACGAGCGAAAGCTAGTATTAATATATTTCATTTTAGGACAATTTTTATAACAAACAATAAGGCTAATCATAATGATGCAACAATTTTTTGCCACCATTAACTTTTTTTTTAAATTGATTCTGTGACGTTTTGGTGGATATTTACATTTAAAATGTTTAATGATGTAAAAATTACTAAATAATTCGTTGTATTTTAGTTGTGACGATAATGGTAACTGAATGGAGGACGAAGTTCCAGCGACGTATGAACTTGGCAGATAACGAACAGAAAGCGCGATCTGTCGACTCGCTATTGAATTATGAAACTGTGAAGTACTACGGTGCGGAGGGTTACGAGGTTGTGTCCTACAGGGAAGCAATAGTTAACTATCAAGTAAGTTGTAATTGATTTTCGATTTTTTTTTAATGTACGTAAAATCTTTATTTGAAATGAATGGTTACATCTCTTATAAGAACAGAGAAAGAAAGAGAAGAAGAATGTGATAGGCGACTTTTATCGTGACAATGACAGAAATATAGCAACTATAGTTTTAAAACTTTAATCTTTATTGTAAAGTTGGCAGAAGTTGATGTAAGTACGAAAAATTCATAGAAACCAGGTGTATGATAGAGCTTCATAGAAAATAAATGTAATTTTAGAATGTTGTTTTTTAAAATAACAAGGGTTATTTTCATTTTCAGAAAGAAGAATTCAAATCCCTAATAACTTTGAACATGTTAAATACATTGCAAAACATTATTATTTGTGGAGGTTAGTGGCATTTTTATTATCAGTTTTACACCTGAATTATAACGACTTTTACTCCCAATTCTATTAAATTTATTGATACTTTTAATTAATAGTGTAGTGTTTGTTTTTTCAAAGAGAATGACAATAAAAAAGGTAGATCGAAGTTAAGTATTTGCGATGCACGTATCGATTGTTTCTTTTCCAGCTTGTGATATAAAAAGGGTATTTCTCGTTAGGTCATTAGGTCCACCGATTGACCGATTCATTAAGATTTTTCCCAATGTAAAACACACTGGTAACCCAAAATAAAGTACAGTAGAACCTCGATAAGTTAAAGTCCAAGGGAAATACAAGATATTTTAAGTTATAGAGATTTTAAGTTATCAAGGGTCTATGTTATATATTGGGCTCTGATAGGAAGGGAGCATATTATTTTTTGAAGTTATTGAGGTTTGAGTTATCGAGGTTCTACTGTAGTACAATTCCTTTGCAGGTCTGCTGGCCGGGTCGTTGCTTGCCGTGTACATGGTGGTGAAGACATACGAACTGACAGTCGGCGACTACGTACTGTTCGCTTCTTACATCGTGCAGTTATACGTACCTCTTAACTGGTTCGGAACTTATTATCGGTGAGTGAAGATTCCATTTGTATATTAGTAGCTTTGTCCGAAACTAAAAAAAAAGATGTAGGCTTTGTGTTCTAGATTATGCTCTATATCTATGCCAAATGCCATCAAGATCCGTTCAGCAATAGGTTACGAGCTCTAACATCCATCCATCCATACTTTCGTATTTATATTAGCTAGATTGCATATGGAGAGATTGAAAGGTACTATCAATTTCTCATATAATAAGTATTGCTAAACTTTCCAAAATCGTTAAGTAGTTTTTTAAGGTTGTAAGTATTAAAATTTTAGTTATTGTATCGAAAAAAAAAAACAGTTTCATACTAATATTATAAATGTGAAAGTTTAGATGGATGGATAAATGTTTGTTAGAGTTTGTAGCCAAAAACGGATCTCAATAAATTTGGCATAGATGTAGAGGATAGTCTAGAAGACATAGGCTACTTAAATTTGTGTAATACTACTCGGACGGAGTCGCGCGCGAAAACTAGTATGATATGAATAAAAATAAAACGTACACTGGAGTGTACGTGTATGTATACAGACTTTTATATAAAAACAATATAATAAGAGTGCATTATCTCTGTCTCATTGAAATATGACTCGATCATTATTCAATTAAAGTCACATCTTGACACTACTACTTAATTAAAATGACAATAATAACAATTGCAATAACTTATGAATGGACTAATTAGTAACACATGTAATTACGTTTTATCTTGTATTTACTACAATGTATACTTGTTTTCGTTCAGATAATATGACAATTTATTCACCTTATTTAATTAATCAAGGTTGGGAACTTGATATGTTTTTGTACAAAGTTTTATGAATCACACGTTATTTTAATTGATTAAAATATGAATCGATAGTATTTTGACCTTACAGTTGTAAAGGTACTTGGTAGTGGTATCGTGTCTTGGTTGATAAAACTTTTCTATTCCATTTGTTTTTGTTTGGATATGTCTGTGATGGGACCGAGTATAACGAGTATACGTCCATTTAAAGGCAAACTGCATACTTTTTACTATTTCGTAAATAAAAACCATTTCTAGTAAAACCATGTAACGTGCGCTATTTAGTATTTATTTATTTAATGCTTTTTGCACAAATATTACAATAAGTATACTAAAATAAGCTACCCATTATAGCTTCCCTTATTTTAAATTAGCACTTCAATTTATTTCACAATTTTTTTAAATATGAAAATAAACGCAATGCTCGTCATTTATGGAATTTGACGTTCCTTTTATACAATTTCTGCGTTAGATCGACACGAAATAGTACTTCCCATGTTCTGATCAGTTGGCTTGGTCTAGAGCTATCCAAAAGAACTTCGTGGACATGGAGAACATGTTCGAGCTGATGCGCGTGGACTCTGACGTGTGCGACGCGCCGGGCGCGCCCGAGCTGGCGGTGCGGCGCGGCGGCGTCGAGTTCAAGCACGTCAGCTTCGGCTACGGGCCCGAGCGCCTCGTGCTCAGCAACGTCAGCTTCCGAGTCGCACCGGGCTCTACTGTCGCACTGGTCTTTATCAATACTGTTGTAACTCGCTTCAAATCACATGTTGTGGCACTGGTCGCTAACTTACCGCTACACTGTTTTGTTTGTTTGCTTCTGTATTCTCATTCGAGGCTTGTGTTGCTCATTTTAGATAACTATGGCACTAAAAGGGTTAACATCGTTCGCTTCTGTTGCTCGTTTATATTTGTGCTCACGTAACCATGGTTTCTTTTTCTTTATTTTCTTTTAGCGTACTCTGATTCATCTAGTAGCATTAATTTTGATGTCAATTATAACACCATTTATATTACTGCATTTATTTTGTTAATATCATCATCGTTGTTTCAAATTCTGTTGAAGTTCATTCCTAAATTGCCATCTTAGTTAAACATTTCGGTCCACAATCCTAGTTCCTAGTTCTGAAACAAACAATGTTATACTAGAGTCATCATCATCATCTCCCCTCCCTTATCCTACTCCTGTGGTGTCAGCGCACTGGGTTTTCGTCCTCCAAATAACTATCATATGTCATCTCAGCCATCAATTCCTTCTTGATCATGTCACCTTTCGCGCAATCCATCCATTTCTAAGTCTACATCAACCGGTGTACCTCCACACTCTACTAACCTCCTTCTTTTACATGCTATGCTAACTATTCCTTAATTTGGCCACTGGGGCGACTACAGTTAAAAGCAATTATAAGGGTGTGTGCATACTCAGGTAGGGCCGAGTGGTGCCGGCAAGTCGACAGTGATGCGGCTGCTGTTCCGCTTCTACGACGTGAACGAGGGCGCGGTGCTGGTGGACGGCCAGGACGTGCGCAGTGTGACGCAGGCATCGCTGCGAAGGAACATCGGTGTAGTGCCTCAGGATACTGTGCTATTTAATAATACTGTCAGGTAAAATATCTAATTTCCCTTTGTTGCTATTTTTTTTTAGTTATTAGCAAGCTTTCGCCCGCGACCCGCGACAAACAAGAGTAAAACTAGCCTATACTGATATTTAAAAAAATGTATTTTTGTATGGATTGAGATAACTTAAAAACAACTGAGCCGATTTCAAAATTTCTATCACTATATTTTTTTATTATTATTTAGTTTCACGCGAGCGAAATCGCGAGCTACAGCTAGTGTATAAAATAAGTTCATCAAGATTGGTTGAGCAGTTTAGGCCACTATAAAAAGGATCCATATAAACTGTCATATGTAATGTTAGTAAAAGTAAAACAGTAGAAACGTTTCATGCGTTCACATATTTCAATAATTGCTCGTATATAATGAGCGTCTAATGTTGTTTATGTATTTATTATTTGTTTACGAATATTGTTTTAGGTACAACATCCAATACGGAAGGCTAAACGCGCCGACGTCTGATGTCATAGCCGCCGCTAAGAATGCGGACATCCACGACAGGATCCTAACGTTCCCTGACGCTTATGATACTCAGGTAATTCATTATTTATGAACCTTGGGTTTAAAGGTATTTTATTCTCATAAAAAAGCACATTGATCACTTATAATAAAAAAACACAAAAATATAGGTATAATTATTTATTAACTAATATAATTCAAAAATTTAGTATAACTAAAAGAATAAATTAACAATCAACCTTCGCAGAATAATACAAAAAACGTTTTATTTTGATCGGATTTTATTTTTGTAAAAATAAACTACAACAGCAAAGCTCTGTTGAACCGATTTTGTTGTGAAATTTTAATGTTAGCGTTTTAGTGTTCTGTCTCTTTCGTACACGTGTAATAATGTATAGGTGGGAGAGAGAGGGCTGCGGTTGAGCGGCGGCGAGAAGCAGCGGATAGCGATCGCGCGCACGCTGCTGAAGGACCCCGCCATCGTGCTGCTGGACGAGGCCACCTCCGCGCTCGACACCAACACCGAGAGGAACATACAGGTTACACAAATTATTACTGTCAACACATCTGTAATATTATTTTAAAGCCAATAGATAACTATTTATAACTTCTATATCTATACTAATATAATAAAGCGTATACACTCTTCTTTGTTGCCTAAGATGTCAGCAATCTCAGCATATTTTCGAATAACTCTTTTTTCAATAAAAGCCCTACACTTACGTCACGCTTTAGGCTATATATTTTCACGCCGTTAAATTTAGGGGCAAATATTTTGGATAAAAACCCTAATGTGGGAAAGAGACCATAAGTTGTTGCCAACATCAAGGAAGCAAGGTTGCTATGGTTTGACATCATGTCATGTCATTTTGACATTTGCAATTGATAATTTGACAAGTGTGAACAATAAAATGAAATTTTTATAATTTTATGCAGATGAGGTCGCATGGGAACAGGTGGTTACTAACATTATAAAAAGGAAAATGTATTTTTTGGATTTCTGTATATATGAAATAACTCAAAAACTACTGAACCAATTTAAAAAACTCTTGCACTATTAAAAAAGCTATGTTATCACTGAGTAACATATGCTACATTTTTACTTTATTTTTTTAATTCACGCGGGCGAAGTCGTGTGCAACAGCTAGTCAAATATGTTTAAGAAATATATAGACTAAACATAGTGAATAACATTTTTTCACCGGAAACTTCTTCCTTTATATATTTTTTAAATCTCTTTGTTCGTAAACAGACAGAGAAACGTAAACAGACGTCTTAGTTGTGTAGGATATCGGCAATAACAGCATGTTTTTGAATAATTCTTCCTTTAATAAAAAGCCCTACATTTTTAAAACGCTAAAGACTATATATTTGTACGCTATTAAACTAACAGGGTAAATAAATTGGAAAAAATTGACATGCGAGATAGGGACAAAAACTACAAGCCTAGCAAATAGCAGCAGAGCGAATTTCGATGGTAACAACGGACATTGTTAGCTAAGGAAAAGGTATTCGTTGACATTTAAGTATTTAAATTTTGTCATTTGCAATGAAAGTTTTACGGAACAAAGTGTATTTTCATAGTTTAGCATCATTCAATCATTCACAACCCCTTAGTGTGAATTTACACTGAAGGATATTCTAAGTGGCCCGTTAAAGACTCATTCCGATAGTGTGTGTAACAAATATGTAAAATTTCTTAATACTAGGCGGCGTTAGCTCGCGTGTGCGCCAACCGCACCACGCTCATCATAGCGCACCGGCTCTCCACCATCATACACGCGGACGAGATCCTCGTGCTCAAGGAGGGGGAGATCATCGAGAGGGGCAAGTGAGTGTCGACCTTTACACGCCTACTGGAAATGTCTCTAACTTCATTTTTTTATAATTACCCTTGAATTTTCTAGGGTTTTTTTTTCTGTGTTTAGAACATGTTTTTGACATTTTCAAAACTTGTATCATCTAGATAGATGCATCTTACTTCATACTGCTTAATAAATGCGAAAGCTTAAATGGATGGATGGATGGATGTTAGAATTTGTAAAGGATTACGATGAAATTTGGCATAGATGTAGAACATAGTCTGGAAAAAGACATAGGCTACACACTTTTTTTAAAATTCTACGCGGATGGAGACACGGGCGAAAGCTAGTTTGACATGTAACAAACGATTTCAAGCTTTACAAGATCATTGGATAAGTTATGCAATTTTCAACTGTGTTCTCTAACTAATAAGGTTCATTATTCAATTACTGTATCAAATAGGCTGTAAATTATTTTTTTCAGTCACGAAGCGCTTTTAGCACAAAACGGTGTGTACGCTTCGATGTGGCAACAACAATTGGAGAATCGTAACTCTGAGGCTAACAACAACAACAATAACAACAACAACATTGAGCCGCCGCCGCCGCCGCAGAATGCTCTGGGCATGTTCGGCCACGGACACGGACACGGACACTAGATAGGCAATGCTTAGGGTTGCAATCCACTTGCATGATTACCTACCGTTATAATCTTTAATTAAATTGCTGTTAAGACTTTATAGTTGTTACAAGTTTATTAATGTTTGCATTTGATTAAAAATAGACAAAATAAACAGTCTATAGTCGCTTATTTGGATATTTTAAGTAATAATTTACAGGTGGGAATCAAGAGTTTAACTAGCGTAATAGATTTATGATTGCAAAACGCAACAAAACACAATAGTCTATATACTTACCTTATACCTCCATGTAACACTTATTTTGGTTATATTTAGTTATGTGTATATATGTTTGTATATATTTCAGCACAATAGTCTTTAGCAATGTCTATAAGATTTAAATACATTAATATTTCTGTGTATTATAACAAAAATGTGTATTAAAACATGAAAAATGACTAAATGTTGAACATTTTGTGCATTTTAGCAAGTGAGTTACAACCCTAATAGTTTAAGTTGCAATTTGTTAAGTAAATATTTCATAAAGGTAAATAAAAAAACGTAGGAAATGTAACCGTTTCGAATATGTTTTGACAAAAGGAGCTCTTAGTATGTAAAAGGACATGACTGATTGGTTATAAGGTGGTATTTTAACACATAGACAGGTCGATATGAACAAAAAATTGTGCCATACTTGCCACAAAATGCAGTTTGTGTTTGTTTTTACATAGAAATGATGTGTAAATACGTCATTCTTGTGTCAATTTAAATGCAACCCGAGAACAATAACATGATACCTAGAATTATATTGAAATGAGAAATATTACAATGTTATTGTCAATGAATTTATTATGAATTTTTTTATATTTAAATCGATATATATTTTTTGAAGTCTTGTAAAGGTAAAATTGTGTGGTTTTTTTTAATGAATGTGACTGTATCTCTTTTCCCTATGAATTTTTTGGTTTTATTTATATTTGTTGTTTCTCTACATTGTATATTGATCCTATCTATGTGTTGTAATATTGTAAGGAGCGCTTTGGGCACATTTGGTATAACATGTAAATACACGGCGAAGCTCTAACAAACTGTATACATAAGTTGACATTGTGATGATGTAACTATATTGTACCTGTAGTATTAATGTTGTGACGGCAAATTATATGTGCAATTCAGTGTTATTAAATAACGTTTTTATTTATTTGAGGGTTTTACTAATGTGAAATCATTAAATTGAAACAAAATATAATAAAAAAATATTTATTTATATGACAATACAAAAGTAATATTTTCAAAATTTAGTTCGCTTTGGCGTTTGGAATTTCATTTTCTATAAATCATCCTGAAAGTAAAAAAATCTTTTAAAATGAAAACAAACAAAAGTGTGTCAAAGAACTTTTAGGTTATTCATCTCTTTCGAATTGTTGGTGCTTGATTTATTTTCAAGCACGTCTAGACACACATAAATGCGTCGTATTTATATAAAATTTGTTTTCGTAATTAAAAACTATTTAATTATTTTATACCTTAGTTTCTTTCAAACTTTGACGCATCAATTGATTTTTCTTTTGATACTGCGCCACAGATAACGAAGGTCTCTTTTTAGCGAATTCTATACTCCGAATAGAATTCTCCACAGTTTGTTCGATTTGGCCCAAAGTCTTCACATAATCGGAGGAGACTTTTCGCACCATTTTCTTACCGTGCTGTATATTCATTACTCTATCGAAAGACGGCGTTTCGATTTTATATGTCGGCTGTATGTATCTTTCTTTTTCGTCGTCGCTTTTGTCATCAAAATTGTTTGATAACGTCAACAAAATGTTTCCCTGTTTCGTCTCTGCCATCGGTCTGAAATAAACACAGAAATATGTATTGCAAAATTATTCATTACAGCATATCCGTAGCTTTGTCCATGTCTACCCCTATCACTTACATCAACCGCGTCCCTCCCGTACTCAGTTAAACCATGATGTCATCCGTAATGAGACCAGCAAAGCTATGCACAAATAGCAACCATGAGCCTTCGTATTTTGAACGAGTGTTTCGAATGTCGTATACCCATGGTTTAATAACTGGCTAGTGACATCTTTGAGACAATAATTATGAACAATTATTATCATCTCTTCTTTATTTTGATACGTTACTTAAGAAGCAACTAAGATTCGACTTTCCAAATCCACTTTAAGAGACGTCCTATATTAGCATATAGCTAGACTCTTAGTGTGCTAGAAAGTCTTAGTATTTGTATAAAAGTAATCGTAAATCTTGGCGGCTACCAAACTGTCTTTGGTTGTCGTGGACTTACGATGTTTCGCCAAAATAACCTTTACCTATAATCTTTGAGAGTGGGTCCGATCTGATCCATAGTGGTGACGTCATTCATCAGTCGCGTGAGCACGGAGCGCCGCCGCAACTCAGAGTCCGAGTCCGCGTCTTGAGCTATGGCGGCCGCCTGCTGGCGAGTCGTTGGCTTTGCTGATGACGCCATGGGCGCTATGCGGACCTTCCTCAGGTCCAGCTGATGACCTGATGGGCTATTAATGTATACTTAGTGTGTGATTATTAAATTAGGAATATCTTTTTTTAGTAGATTTTTTTTAAATTTACTAATATTTTCTTTAACCATTCCAACTAAGCTCCAGGTTTGTGCTAGGATATGGTTCACGCCAATAGTCGAATGGCGGGATTCGAACCCTCGACCGCAAGATCGGTAGTCCGTACCTCAAACCATTAGGCTATTGGTGCTTCAAATTTACATAAACAAATGACATAAATAATCTTAAGGTTAGTAGCGCCGGTTAGCCACGAGGCTTCGTTTAGTCTGGCGAATGACCGAACAGTTTGTTTTCCCACGTTTTGTACGTTATTAGTTAAATCAAAGAAGCAATATGCACCTAGTCACAACAGACTCCTCCTCCTCCGGTATTAATATACTATCTTTGCTTATCATTGCCCTATCGATGAGCTCCGCCCTGGGATAGCCTGTCGGACGCCTGTGAATTCTCATCTCAGCGTGAGGTAAATCGGGCACAATTATAGATACTTTTCTAAAAAAAAAAACAAACAAAAATTTAAAAAAAAAACTAAGCGTCTCTTCTAATGACAGAAATGATATACTTTTCCTGATTATCCGATGGTCGATGATCCATCGCCGCTCTGAGGACATAAGGAAATTTTTATTAGTAAACTAGTTAATATTTTTGGTGTTATAACAGTCGTATAAATTAAAAAAAAATCTGTAATGAATGTTGATGTATGGTGATTTTTACTTACTTTGCTCGACCTTCTTTCAATCGACGTTCTATCGAACTCTCTCTGAATAAAAAAATTTGGTTACATATCCTAAGACCGACATTACATTTAAATCAACATAGTTAATCAATTTTAATGTTAAACTTACCTGAATCTTCTAATTTCCTCGTCAGAGATGTTTTCAGATCTGCAAATTAAACAGAATTCTATAAAATTAAATTGTCATCTTTGAATAAAACCAGTTAATAATATCTGAGGCAACTATGGGCGTCGCTTAGAAGCATCGATCCAGCAACTAAGTAACAACTTATTTATGATTACTTACTTTCTGCCTTCGAATAAATTTAACTTGCCGCCGCCTCTAGCGATAGCTCTAACTACATCTCCAGCGAAGCTCACACGATCAACATTGAATCTAAAAAAATGTAATGATTACTTTACATGTAACAGAATAATTTTAAAGGGAATATTAATGAATTACTTGATATATCTTCGAATTTCCTTTTCTTCGTCAGACTCCAACGAACTCACTATAAAATAAAATCTTGGTTAGTAACCCATTCGAATTTGTACTCGACATTTAATACGAAAGAAAATTTCAATTATCATACATGACGCGTTTTCAGAATCACAAGGTTGGGCGAATTGGAATATTTCTGAAGCATATGACACAACATGCTGCTTAGTAGACTTCGTTGGCGTTTCTTTTAAAAGGTCCGATTCTAAACAATAATGGCCTTTAATAAATCTGGAATTAAAAAGCATATGTTTGTTATCATTTGATTACAAGTATAGGAAACAAAAGAATAGATTTCAAAACTAACTTCTTCAAATCATGAGTAGAACTGATTTCTTCAGGATAAGGTACATCTGCTAATGGAAAGTAAAATAGTTGTTTTGGCCTTTCTATGGATGTGCTTGTCTTCTGTGATTCCTCCTCCCCTGCTTCGGTATTGTAAGGATTTGTCGACTCGTAGCCTTCCACAAAGTAATCTTCTAACTCATCGCTCAAGGATTCAATATCCACGTCTTTTGCTGACTCTCCTTTCTTTAATTGTTTCTCTATATCTTCTTTTTTGCGTATAAATCTAAGGAATAGTCTTGTATAATATTTACATTTCCTAATTGCACTATATTTGGAATAGTTATCGGTCTAACCTTTTCGTTTCTCGAACATTCGTGCGATCTTCGGTTTCTCCTTCCTCTTCTTTCAATTTTCGAGCAAGCGCTATGTCATCAAGTTCAACATATAACGTGTCGATTATAAACTGTAATTAAATAGATTTACTGAATACTTGAGGAAATGAGAAAAAACACAATTTTAATTGTCACCCTAATTCAATCTGATAGGTTGTGGGTCTGTCGTTTTTTTCTGTAACGTTTATGTAACTTACCTCGCGTAGAAATTCAGCGATTTCATAGTTATCTTCTATATGGTTTTGGATATATTCGTAAATCCCCTTACAAACGACCAGCTCTTGACAATGCAGGTTTAGAAGACCGGCTTGGCATATAACAACTTTTAAGGTCGGACTCTCGTACCAAGTGGGAACATTTTCAATCCTTTGTAACGTCTTTTCTCCGTCAATAAGTTGTCCGAACGCGACATATTTGTGATCCATCCATGGTGCAGGTTGTAGTAATATGAAGAACTGAGTTGAACAGTCCTTGTGTCTAGAAAGTTTGTTTAAATTTCAATATTTTACTGTGTATGTGTTTGGAGTTATGTTCAGTTTGCTGATGATTAACGTAATAGAGATGTGAACTTTAAGCGTTAGGTGATATTTGATTTAACCAACGCATGTTCAATTAAATCAAAGTAACGTATTCTTTTACCTGCCATCATTAGCCATGCATAATACTCCGCGTCTATCATGAGGTATGATAAAATTCTCGCAATCCAAATGCGTAGATTTCAAATTAAATCCACCGCACTGTATCCAACCATCCTTCACTATTCGATGTACAGGTGTACCAGCGTAACCTCCTCTCTTCGTTTTACACAAGCGCATGAAATTTTCGCAAGTTTTTGGTACGATATCCGAATATAACTGGAATAAAAGCATGGTATGGTGGCAAACTTGCAATTCGTCGTGATTTCACACCAAAAGTTTGCAGATTCACTGACTATCTATAATAGACATAATCTACTACTACTATGAAGATATCTACTTATAATAACCAAATTTCTGTACCCCAACTAACTTTACTTTAAGAAAAGATTACCATGAAAATCATAGTTCCAGAAATGTCATAATCGCCCTCAACAGAAAAGTGTATGTAAACGAAAGGCCTCTGAAAGATTAAAATAACGCCTTTTAGAAATAACAGATCACTTTGGCAACGCTGGCTGAAAATAAATGAAATCCACCGAGGAAGTACTGGACTATCGAACAAAGAACACCTCTTTGAAAACAATAGAGAAGTTATTTTACACCTCTATGATTCGTCTGAAAATACTACTGAAGGTTGACGCTATTCTTCTATGTAAAATCGCGTTATATTATTTAAAAATGCATACTCCAGTATTGTCAACATATTTAGTAAATTCTCCAATTGCTTCTTTGTAGTAATCAGGACATATGTGGTAGTTGTACTTCGATTCGACTAATTCTTTCAACTCTTTTTCCCCGCCAAGAATTTTTTTGTTTACAACAACTGCAACTTCACTTGTAATGCAATAAGCCAGACCTCCGTATTGTAGTTTCAAATCGTTCCAAACTTGAGGCCATTCCACACTACTAACACCTGGAAATAAACACAAATACTTACTTAACATACAAACATTGTATAGACGATCAGAATAACATAACAAGACATTCAAGAGGAGAGGGACAAACAGAGATTATTAATTGCCTATCGACCCCTTTAAATTAGGGTAAACTAAGATTGCCTTTTTATATCTATTGTTTGTGGCAGCTAAATTAGTCGCCTCTTGCTCTATCCTAGAGCGCATTCCGACATTAGGTACTACTGAATTAAATATATTTCAATATACTCCCATACCTCGTATTTCAGGAGCTTCGAAATCATTTTTTCTGTATTTGTAAAGTCCACTTACTAATTTTACACAGTAAATAAATTCTTTAGCAATCCTGTTTCCGATTATTGTAAACTTTGTTGGAGGGTAATCTCGCTTTACTTTTGTTTTATCGTGTGGGTTGTATATCGAGTTATGTCCATATTTGATGAAAGAAACAAACTGATCCTTAATCGTTGTTTGCCAAGGATGTTTAATAAAGCCCTTGTTTTTCTGATCATCAAAGGTCATCTTAAAGCTTGTTTGTCGCTTAGCACTTTTTACCTACCAATTTTTGTATACACAAGCGATAAAAATGTTTAGTTACTATGGAAACGAAAATGTTTTGTTTATAAAATAATAATGATCAAAGATGAAAAGCTATTACATGAAGTTCATTTTTAAGGAAAGTAACTTTTCTCATAATTTAAGCCAAACCACTTATTTTGCCTATAAGTTCATAGTACCAATTCAAGGGGAGATGTGTATTAATTTCAAATCTCTGCAGCCTCCTAGATAACAGGCGTAATTTAATTAATAATTTTGACTAGTTCACCGACCAACCTAATTACACTGGTCTTACTCATTCTTTGGCGTCTTCTGTGGTTTTCCATCAATGTCTATTGTTACTGTCACTGTCAATTTGTCATCTATTTATGTGAATTTTACAATCAATTCTAATGTTTCATTTGGTTTTATCCACCTGATTTTACCAAATACAAGTAGTATTACATTCTATATTTCTTTGAATGGTAGTTGTCTCAACTGGATTATAGTTGAGAAATAAAAGAAATAATATTCGTACAAACTATCATTCGATGATTTATAGTTATATTGATATTACTTAGGGCGAGGTTCAACCATGGGGAATCCACCTCGAGCTATTAACGTGATCGTCCAACAGCTTCACAGTGCACTTACTTCAAAAAAACGAGTTGACGGTCATATTCATTCACTCATAGATGAATTTATCAACCTTCCTTTCACAAAGAATGAAAATGAATATTTTGCCATCCATAGGGTAAGTAAAATGTTTAGTTTTAGATACCTTTCATAAAGATTTGAAGAAGATTTATTTACTCTGCAGATATCTTATTAATTTAATTAATTTCAGAATATTGAACAATTGACTGAACTGATTTGTGCAGAGATTGTACCATCTAATGATATCCTTACATCAAAAACTTCAAGCTTACTGCATAAGTTCTTTACTGATACAAATCATGAGTTTACCGAAGAACACTGGGATGCTGTAACAAAGTGGCGTTTTGAAAGCTTGCGTGTGTGTTCAGGGAATATACTAACAGATGTTCTCTTCCACATTCATGATAATTTACCAAAAAGGACATATAGTTTAGCAAAGGTATTAAAAAAACCTAAAAATCTCGTATTTAATTAATGTTTTCCTGAAACATGTGCTGTAATAATTTTATTTGTTTTTTTAGCATGCTGAAACGTTAATTGGTCCTGAGGGTCTGATTATAGCAGTTCTTAAAAACCAAATAAGTAACCAGGAGAACTGGACTGCTGATAGTGTGAAAACGTCTGTGCTACTAGTCAGGATAATGTCATATCTGACAGTGTATTTACTTCAAAATACTAAGAAATGTACACCAAACATGGATAAAGATCTTATTGCTGAAACACTTATGGAACTTCTTATGAATGGTGTGCCTAAGGAATGTGATTTTTTTTACAATATGGTAAGTTACTTAATATTTTTTTCAGTGTTGAAAGTGTGTGAGATCTTTAATTCTTGGATGAACATTTATTAATCTTTGATTTGTATTCATATCATAACTAGCTTTTCAAAAAGGAAAAAAAAAATAAAACATCTATGTTCCTGTCTATGTACCAAATTTCATCACAATCTGATGAGCTGTTTGGAGATAAGGATAGTAAACATGTAAACTTTTTCATTTATATTATAAAGATAGTTTTGGTAAATGGGAAAACAAATGATGATTGGTTTGCTTTGTACATAATTTTTTACATTTCGTCAAAACCCACTATTGGTCATAGATGACACATGGTGTAAAGAAACTCACCCTTTGTGTTTTCAGGCAGTGGAGCCAGCTTTAAGGACTTTAGCTCATCTCTTCTATCACAACCCAGATATGGATTTTTCACTGTCAAATGCCATCAGTATAGCTCGGCATTTTATTCTCTATGGCTTGAGTATAAGATACACAAAACCTGACAAGTTGACACCAATAGAACATGCAAATGTTATCGAACCTGTTAAAATTATCCCTAAAGCAGGAAAGGTAAATATATTTTTACGTAATTAAAAAAATACTAACAATATCAGCACATATTTAAATATGTCTTACTTAAGTAAGGAATTAAAGACATATTCTTCACTTTTTCTGTTGTTTGTTCATGTAATTATAATTATATTCACTAGCTTTTGTCCGCGACTCTGTTGTGATATTAGTTAAAAAAAAACAATGTTTGTAGGATATGCATTCTTCCAACCTATCCTCTACATCTATACCAAACTTCATCAAGACCCATTCAGCAATGTAGGCTACAAACTCCAACATCCATCCATCCATCCATTTAAACTTTCACATTTATAATATTTTTCATTTTTCATTTTCTAGAAACAAAAATTAAGAAAGCCAAGAAATAACGCAATTGAAAGGTTAAAGAAAGAAGCATCTGACCCCAGTGCGATGAAAGAAGTAGAACAGTTTAACAGTGACTTAGTTTATGAGCCAACAAATAAAAACTTTTTGGACCCACCACAGTTTGTTTTAGATTCTGAAACATCTACCAACTTTAGTTTTGAATTGAAATTCAGACCTGAAGTGATGGAACTCAAACCTTTAATAAGACAGTATGCTTCAAAATTATTTTTAGTTATTATAAAGGTGAGCGAAACATTTATATTATTTTTAATACATTTGTTTTATTATTTGGTCCTTTAAAGTGTAGATTAACTCTGTAGGATGCACAAATTATCGCTAAAAATGTTTTACAGTGATAAAAATTAAAATATTGTACAGTAAATCAGTTATTGACAGTAATTTTTGTCATTCTTCAGGTGAAAGGTAAAAGAAAAATCTTTCCATATTGGTGGAAATTTATGCCTAATAATCCTGAACCTCAATATTGGTTCAATACTGAAAATGGCAAGAAGTCTCTTATCTTTGCTGCACTTTCTGATTCCGTACCTAAAGGTCGTAGCAGTGCTTTGGGTGTTGTACTCACATTATTGTCTGGTTCAAGGCCATATTTAGCACAAGCAGAGACAAGGTATGCTTTTCTAAATATTGTCGATTTTTAACGATGAAATAGATTTTGTTTTACTAGTGCATGGCTAGTTTTAGAGCACCGAAAGTCTATATAGTTTCCTAATGTTGTGTTCAATTCCCATTGCTAGAATATCTCAGCTCAAGCCGCAGTTTTTTAAATAATTATATAGATTTTGTGATGAACAAATAAACCCTAGGTTACTTTGTTGATTGTAAATAGTTATTCATTTTCAGTGACAGAACTACATCAGTAGTACCATTCCCAGTTACTCTGGGGTATATGGTAACATGTATACATAATGCACTGATTTATGTTCTGACGATGGAGAAGTGCGAGGGTGTGGCCATAATGGCTTTAAAATGCACCGCAGCTCTGGCACAAGCCACACCTTACCATAAACTACAGCCAGGACTAATTGAAGGCTTGATTAGATGTATTAAGAAGTTTATCAAACAAAAAGGTATGGGTTATGATAAACTAGCTTACGCATGCGGGTTCATCTGCGTAATTAAAATTTGTAGGCTAGTAGTAAGTAGACTGTGTTCTTCCAGACTATCCTCTATGTGTATACCAAATTTCATCAAAATTCATTAAGCAGTTTAGGCTACAAATTTTAACAAACATTCATCTGTTCATCCAAACTTTAGCATTTATAATATTTGTAAGATATCCCACAAATAGTCGCATTTTAGATGTTTACAAATATCTCACAATATTTCGAATTGTAATTAAGGTAAATCCTGTCCAATTTATTGTGAATTTGTTGGTGCAAACAGATGCCATTATGTTTTAAGATTTACATAAATGTAGTCTTAAAAATATCTGAATGATATGCAATATGAGAGTGCTCATAAGCTCCCTTAGAATAAATTAAAAATTGAATTATATTTCCAGATATAAATATTCAACTAGGTTCTTTAGTAGCTATTGGATCTATGATATCAGTGGATCCGAAAGTAGATGAAGTACTGAGAGTGTTGAAGGATGATGGACCTGATGGTAAACCGGAGAACCCAAAAAGCAAACCTGCCAATGAACCTGAATGTGAGGACTTTGAAGAATCGTACCCAGATGATGATCTGGTGGTGAATACAGAAACAGACGCATCTTTAGTTAAAGAGAAGTTCGATAAACCTTTGCGATTAACAAGTTGGGTTCTTGCTATATGTTTTAAAAATTTCGGCATCGTGTTTGAAAAGGATCAAATAATGGTAAGATTTTTTATATTATCTCACTATGAAATTGTGAATAAAAAGTCCTTCAACTTGTTGGGTAATAAGGTTCTGACTATTACTTCGATTACAAAGTTATGACGTCACTACATACATCGGTATATACATCGGTTCGGGTACGTTACTTGAAAGGCATTATATAGATAAATATTACTTAAAGTAAAATTTTGAATCACTTTAGATTTATTATATTTCTATACTAGCTGTTGTACATGACTTGGTCGACGTGAAATAAAAAAATACAGCCTATGTAACAGTGATAACATAGCTTTTTAATGGTGAAAAAGTTTTTGAAATGAGCTTAGTAGTTTTTGAATTATTTCAATACATACATAAACACAAACCTTTCCTCATTATATTAGTATAGACACAGTTTTTATTGTTCCTTGTTTTAATTACAGTTTTTAATATTTTTAGAACTGTCCGCTGCCTCCCATGCCAGTGATATTAGAGACACTACAAGTGCTGTCAGCTATCGCTTTCCACTACTTAGGAGAGTTACTGAGACCACATCTAGTGATGGTGACTGAGTTGTTGAGTGACATGTTGCGTATTAACCATCCAGATCTAACACTACAGTGTGCTAAGACCATCAGTGTTATCGCTGATGGCATGCAGAAGTTGGGTAAGTTTTTTATATGTATTTTGACTAACTTTTTCCCGTGATTCCGTCTATTAAAATAACAAAAGTGTAGCCTATGTGTTCTTTCAGAAAATGCCATACACCCATTCTAAATTTCATAGAGATCTTTCAGCTGTTTAGGCTAAAGACTCTAACAAACCTTGATTCATGTAAACTTTTGCATTTGTAATATTGGGATGTATATTTTTAAAGCTCTCGCTATGTAATATTGCATACCGATACTTAAAAAGGGAAAATTAATCAATTCACGTTTCGTATAGCGTTATCTCTTTCACACAAAGCGCAGCACTACAGTTAGTGAAAGGGATAACAATACATAATCGATACTAGTTGTTTGTCGCATTGTAAAAATCGATAAGAGTTAGTGACGCTTTTTAGAAATTCTACACTTTTGACAATACTTCTCATGTTTTTTTTAAATTATGGATTTATGAAGCCATTTTTAGTTATTTTATGAAATAAACCGTTGGTCTTTGCGTAATAATTATTGTTGGTGACAGAGAGCAGCTCGCACGCGCTGCGGATGAAGGAGCGGCTGTACGTGTGGGAGCGGCTGCTGGGCCCGCTGTGCGGCGTGCTGCAGGCGCACGAGAACCCCAGCGCCAAGGCCGTCGTCTGCGACTGCATCGCCAACATCGGGGAGAAGTGCTTCAAGGAGATGCTCGTAAGTGTACACTGGCTGTCGCCCGTCACTGTTTCCGCCGAATTAAAAGAAAACCTAATTAGACTATGCTCTACATCTCTGCAAAATTTTATCGAGATCCGTCGTCAGGTTCTGGAGATACCTTCAACGAAACATCTAAACTTGTACATTTAAAATATTTGTAAAATTTAATAATAAAAAACTAAAAGTAGAAATTTTCAAGGTAAGACAGAGGTGGAAATCATGAAAAGAGAATGTTACGTATAGAATATATGTACCGATGATTAAAGATTATTTTGTACTAAAACACTAATAAGCAGTTAATTCGCTAAAAATAAGGAAATTGCCGTTTATATACAGACTGTTGCTCGCTAAGTCGTGGAATTAAAAAAAGTAGTCAAAACACTTACCGATAACGTAGCTTTCTATTGGTGATAAATTTTTAATAATCGGCTCAGTAGTTTTTGAGCTATTCTAATACATGCTATAATAGAAATCTTTCCTCTTTATAATATTAGTGTGGAAAAAGGTACGTACAATGTATATTCAGGTGGTCTTGTATGTATGGCAGAGGAGTTGTTCAGTAGTCGGTGTATGTACTTGTAGTGTACTTATCTATTTATTTAATTACTAGCTGTTCCCATGCGACCTCATCCGCTTAAAACTATGAAAATTTTATTTTGTTGTTTAAATTTAATTATCAATTACAAATGTCAAAATAATATGACATTATGTCAAACCATGGCAACCTTGCTTCCTTGATGTTAGCAACAACTTATGGTCTCTTTCCCATATTAGGGTTTTTATCCAAAATATTTACCCCTAAGTTTAACTGCGTGAAAATATATAGCCTAAAGCATGACGTAAGTGTAGGACTTTTTATTAAAAAAAAGAATTATTCGAAAATATGCTGTGATTGTTGACATCTTAGGCAACAAAGAAGTGTGTGTTTACGCTTTATTATATTAGTATAGATCTATCTATTTATATATGACACTACATACTGTTGCAGCGGCCGCAGCAGCTGCTGTGCTGCGCGCTGCTGATAGGGTCGTGCAGCGACGAGCAGCCTGCCGTGCGCGCCGCCGCCGTGCGCGCGCTCGCCATGGCCGTCATGTACCGCACGCTCAGAGAGGTACACAACCATCACAAATACAATTATAACGGAATACATTCATTACACTACTTGTAACCATCATCATCATCACCATCTCATACGTCCTCACTATTGGGCTCGCCTACTCTAATAAGGACTAGGCTATAGTAGAAATTAAAAAAATCAAATGTAAGTATTCTGTGTTCTTCCAGATTGTATTCTACATTCATGCCAAATTATACCTAAATTCGTTCGGAAATTTAATCTTAACAAAAATAAACATTTACTCATCTGAAGTTTTACATTTAGAATATTAGTAAGATTATTTAATACTTATCTAAACTAAACGCGGTATAAAGTGTAACTTAGGAATAAACTGAACAAGCAAATATTAGTACAAATTTTAAGGCTGGATGTTATTTTTAATAGATTCTCGACCTTTTCTTCTTAAGCGATCTGCCTTTAGTCATTAATATCCTCTTAGTTTAAATTTTGCATGAGAAATGTATATTAAATCCTGCTCAAAGGAGCAGCATCAGTAATGTGATGTAACATGTTAGGATATCAGTTTCGTGAGCGACTGCGCGGAGAACATCCTGCGCGCGCTGGCGGAGCCAACGCTGCAGGTGCGCGCCAAGGCCGCCTGGGCGCTCGCCAACATGAGCGACGCGCTCGTACTCAACACGTGAGTGCACACATACATAACATGGGG